GGAGAGAGAGGAAGTATTCAAGACTTTATCCACTGCAACTATTCCAACTCATAATTATTTTTTATTTGGTAGAATATTAAATAATTTATCTCTTATATCTATTTGGATAAATTTCCAATATATATGTATTAAATCTTAAAAGAAATTATTTAAACTTATTTTTAAGGTTTAGATTTTTCTTTTATCGTGGTAGTTGGGAACAGGGTTTTAAGGCATCAAATATTTAACCAACCCTCAAGAATATTGATCCAGATCGATAACTCTCCAGGGTCCAAAGAAACTAAAAGTAAAAAGAAAAAAAATAAAAATAAAAAAATACAGCAGCAATCGCACCTACATCACCAATTCCACTAACCAAATGGTCCAGTCACTAATAGAATCCGATGATTCTCATCAAGTCTGTCCGACTGATTCAGTAATGCAAAAGCCAACGGGATCGAGAAGGACCTCATTTGAACACCCCAAGGCTTGAAAACCTGACTCGCTGATACAGATTTGCCTTCTTTATTTTTTATCCGGTTCGACAGATCGGAGATATGTATTTTTGGACCAAATATTAAAAATTTTAAAAAATTAAAAATAGTAAAAAATAAAGCCAGTTCTAAGAGGTTTCCAATGTTTACAAGAACCAATACATCATTGGTGATACCATATCCAGATCGTGATACACATTAGAATATATGAACTTCTTCGCCTTGTTTAACGTAGACGGTAATACTAACGAGCTCTATGGTGAAGTCTTTGAGTCTATTCCCACCAAAAAGTAGAGGCCTAAATCCCCATTAACACTTTTAATTTATTTATTTTTTTTCTTTTTGTTTTTTTTTACATCGTATTAACTTGGTTTTTTTTTGCATGGAATTAACTTGGAGTCTAATGTGAGTACTACGAAGATAATGTCATCTCCAACCCATGCGTGTTTCATTTTCCAATCTCCGAGCGGTGTATAAACCTCATATGGAGACGCAGTCGTATGAGAGCCGTGTGGGAAAGCTCTTATTGCCCTTTTACCAAGTACAAAACAAGATGCCTCAAACATCAAGATATGACAGTTATACCCCCCAACTATGCAACGATTTGCTACCATATGCTGTTTCCCTTGTCATGTACGAAACAACTGTGCACTCTACTAGACGTCCATCATTGTCATATGCTACTGACTATACATGACCATTTGGATATCTCTTGACCGTACCGTTTAAAACTCGCACAGGGGTATTTTCGTCACGCATTCTATAAGATGCACCTAATTCGAATACGGCACCTTTTCCTAAGGCCGAGATGGGCCGGGCGACGTAGCCCATTCACAATCCTAGGTAAGGTTAGCTACTTGAGGTTTCTTTATGCTGAAAACTAAACAACAATTGTTTCAAGGGGGCTGGATTGCATTTCTACAATATGCAGTCCCGAGGCATAAAGCATCCATTTAAAAAATGAATGTAAATGGGTGATTCACTTAAAAATAATAATAACTAAAGATCAAAATGGTTTGTTAATATAATTATTAATTTTATTTTTTAATTTTTTTCATATATCAAATTATATTTAAAAATATATGCACCGGGTTTCTATGCTGCGAAACCCGTGTATGTAGAAATGTGCGCTTATAAATAAATCTATTTTTGAAATGGATTTTTGGACTTAATTTTTAAAGGCATGTAATCTCTAACATGGAGATCAAGAATATGAAAAAATAAGTAAATTTTTAAAACAAACAATAATAATTTTAGTAAAAAAATATTTAGATTGTTAATTTCTATTATTTTTAAATCAAACATCTACTTGCATCCATCTTTAAGATGTATGCTTCACACTTTTTGGACCGCATATGTACTTATGCGGTCAAGCCTGCACGAGACAATTTCCCAAAATATACTTATTGCCAAGCCTGCTTGAATACAATATGCGGGCTGGCCGCATGCTAACCGTGTCCAAAACTAAAACCAAAGATATCTTTGGGATGTTTCTGGAAAGCGATTTTAAATTGTACAAAGGTAATCTCGTCATTCACTTTAGAAGGCGTAGACGGTTGTTTTTGCTTGGACTGAAAGGGCATTTTCGTCATTATCACCCAGGGATAATAGTGGAGATTAGGGCGTTGGGCGCGTGGTACGGTGCAGGGTACCGACCGGCTGGAGGGCGTAGTAAACCGGCAGTGGCCGGTGACTGGGAGGCCGTTAGGCTTCCGTTCGATGGGCAGGTTTGCAGGCTGGAGTGACAGTGCCGCAGTAATGATCCGCCCTCCGATTCGGCGACCGAACTTGTCGCTCTCGCCAGCTCAGCATTTCCGTGCGGCCGTTCTCTCCGTCCTCCTTATCTCTCCCATCACACCAGAGAGAGGCGGAAAGAGCCAAAAAAAAATCCCCCTCGCTCTCACTCACACGAAAGAGAGAGAAAATGGTGTCCAGGCTGGCTCAGTCAAACTCACTCGCCCCCACCCCCTTCTTCCCCGACGCGTGTCCACTGCCAGCTGTTCTCACAAACCGCTTGCTTCGAAGCAGCACCCCTCTCAACTGCCTCAACCGGTCAACCCCCTTCCTGCACCGCCTATTTCCGGTGACTCCAACCCCCTCTTCTCTTGTGACCCCTCTCCTTTATAACCCGCTCTTTGCCTACCTTCCTCTCCTCGTAAGCCCAAAGGGGCCTTTCTCTCTCTCTGAACGGGAAAGCAGTTTCCCCTCTCTCTGAATTTCCCTGGAAACAAACCCCCCCTTCTCGCCTGTAAATCCCATCCCTTGGTTCTTCTTGATCCATATGGGGAGTTGTAGTAGAAAAGAAATGGATCGGATTAAAGGGCCGTGGAGCCCTGAGGAAGACGAGCAGCTCCGAAAGCTCGTGCAAAAGCACGGCCCGAGAAACTGGTCTCTGATAAGCAAGTCGATCCCGGGTCGATCGGGCAAGTCGTGCAGGCTTCGATGGTGCAATCAGCTCAGCCCTCAGGTTGAGCACCGCGCCTTCACGGCTGAAGAGGACGAGACCATCGTTAGGGCCCACGCCCAGTTTGGGAACAAGTGGGCCACTATCGCTCGCCTCCTCTCAGGTCGCACTGATAACGCCATTAAAAACCACTGGAACTCTACTCTAAAACGAAAGTGCTCTTCGTCTTCTTCTTCACAAGAACCCAATGAACAAGAACCCCACCACCCCGCAAAGAGGCTAAGCAGCAGCCTCTCCCTTAGCCCTGGTAGCCCCACTGGATCTGAGATTAGTGATTCGGGCCTTGCCTTGACATCCTCGGCCCATGTTTACCGGCCGGTGGCAAGAGCAGGTGGGATCGTACCGCCTGTTCAGATCGAGACTTGCAGCTCCCCCACCAACGACCCACCCACTTCTCTCAGTCTCTCTCTTCCTGGTGCCCAGCCATTGGATTCATCTGATGGATCAGAAGAGGGTGTTGGTGGGTCCCATTTGAGATGCCAGTTTGTATCTCCCCCTCCCCCTCCCCCCCCTCCCCCTTCCTTTAATGGGGTTATGGGGTTTCAGGCTGTTAACAATACTGAGAAGACGCTGGGTTTTAGCCCTGAGTTCATCTCTTTGATGCAAGAGATGATTGCAAAAGAAGTAAAGAATTACATGGCCGCGCTTCATCAAAATGGGTTTTGTTTTCAAGGGGAGATGGGGGTTTTGGACTCGGGAGCTGTGAGGAATGCCGCAGTGAAAAGGGTCGGCGTTGGTAAGCTTGAAGGTTAGGTCTTTGTACAAAGGAACGAGTGAATTCACAGTGGTTAAGCTTTAGAGTGAGAGAGAGAGATGGTGGACGGTGAAGAAGTAAACCCATGGATATCAGTAATGGGGCGACGGGATTGAGTTTGAAGACGACGATGATCTCTATCGCGTCGGCCATGGCCGCGGCCCTGATGAAGAAGAAAGCAACGGCCAAGGCTTTTTGTTTTCATCTTCTCCTTTTTCTCAAATCTGAATTTTCTTCTGTTCAGTTTAATCCGCTCCTTTTTGCACGCCAGATTGATTATCTGGCCCTCGCCAAATATGTGAATAAGGATTTAGTTAGAATTAGGGTTCTTAAATGAAAGAGAACAAGGATCTAAACCAGCTCTCCCTCTTGCTTATTGATGCTCATCGTAAAATATTACCCATGCTTTGAACCTTTCAAAATCCCTCTCTGCATGTGGATTTTTGACTTATATTTCTTAAACATTGAAATCAATTCATAGGATAACGCGTATATAATTGAACTTTTATGCAGAATCGATTAAAAACATTGTCCAAACCGATATAGTACAAGGAAAAAAAAAAGTTGAAATAATGCATTGAACTTGTTTTCCGATGTGTTCGTGTTTTGAAAATTAGACTCTTAAAAGTTCTTGCTTTATTGGAGGTGCAAGAATATCAGTCAATCGATCATGTGAGCGTCGAGATTCATCTTGTGACAGCCAAACTCCCAAGGAAATGAAAAAAAAATAGGGTTTACTGGGAGTAAAATTAAGATGAACACAAATCGAAATGCAAATTAAAAATTGGAATAGACGGTGATGGCTCTGCTGCATCCCCTCTTTAAAAGTTTTTTGGTTGGGGAGGGTCTTTTCCGAATTTGGGGAAACTTGGACAGTTTAAAGGGAGGCGATGCTTAGCTGTTTTCTTTCTTTTCACGGAAATCCCTGATTGATGTCTCTTTTAGGCAGTTTCCTTACCACCACAAAAGACGATACAAATTTGTTATTTTTAATATGATTCGACTAATTGGTTAATAGAAACACTGTTAAAAACAGGAAAGGGTTTGGGTTTCATCTCCCTTGTGGTTTTCAATCGCACTTCAAAAAAAAAAAGAAGAAATCATCTATATGATAAAAACGGATTTCACAAGGAAGAAGTTTATAATTAGAAAAAATATATAATTAAAGAAGGTTCTCTCAGGTCGTGGCCCAAGTGAAAAGCAAAAAAACCTACAAAATGATATTAAAAAAAAAAGCAAAAAAATGGATTTTACAAGGAAAAAATTTATATAAGGTTGTAGATTGCAATTTGATGTAGACTTTTTCTGTATCTAAATATCACTATACATATCTAATTCAAAATTTTAAAATTTTCTGTATCTGAATATCACTTTTCATATTTAATTAAAAATTTTAAACTCTAAAAGAAGTTAAAATGACGGTCTAAACAATGTGTTGTAAGGTGCACTATTTTTTAGAATGAAAATATTTTTATTGTTTTTCATATTCATGCATTTTAGAGTAGAGATGATTTGACCATGGAAAATAAAAAGATTTTAAGTTTCAGAAATAGTGCATTTTATGACATTATTTACACATCATTTTCAATATTTTTCGTATGTTGTTTAAAAATCACATAGGCATCCGTATGCCAACTGCACCCTTAAGATAATCTTAAAAATGTTTTTACACCGAAATTATATGTTCTTATAAAATTTGGTAGTGCTCTTTAATTGGGTTGTTTAAAGTTGCAGCCTTATAGAAACTATACCTTTTAAAAAAATAAACTCATGACAGAAACGGTGTTTTTGAAAGTAATTCAAAAGCAGAGGAAAAATCTAAAAAATGAGTATTATAGACACAATCGTCTCTAATCTTTGTCAAATTAATAAAAACTATAAAAAATATATATCAAATAAATTTTTTATTTTTTAGAATTTATTATTACACCCAACGGATAACTCGGGCTCAGCAACGGCGAGTAACTCGACTAAGTAGAAACTACCCGGCCAATTTTGCGGACTCTGCCTTGACATTAAGTGAATTTCATATTTGCCGTTGTGAAAATCTGAGCCGTCCATTCGTGGGTTTGAGTTGGGGAGGGTGGGCCCTACAAAGTCGGTTATGTGTCTTGTGGTTGAAGAAGCCACTGCAGTGTACGTTGAGATAGAATAGGCATGAATTCAGAGATGAGCTGGATACACCCAAATACGAGGGTTGGGTAAAACTATATTTTACTACTTTAATATACGAGTGACGTATGCCGCTCAAATCTCAAATGAAGGGACCTCCGCCGTTGTAGTTTCGAAAGCTAGTAGTGTAAATATTTGATTATAAAAATTAAGGTGTCGTTTCTTTATGGTGTACATCTCAATCAAATTAAGGTGCATGTCTAATGCTTGTTAAAATATTTTGTTTTTCAAATCCATATATCCTGATATTGAGATAATTAAATGGAAGATTTTTTGACCTAGAGATATTTTGTTATGTGGATTTTCAAGATGTTTATGGAAATTACCGTTCCACATCGGGAGCTGCGAGGTGTTTCATAACTAGACAACACATTTACATCGCCTAGTATAAGATAGCATGTTTTGGGAAAAATAATATCCCGCTTGTTCTATGGTGTTTTAAAAAGTACAATTTTTGAAAAATGTGTTTTGTCTTATTTATAGAGAAAAATAATGGGTTATTTATCTCACATTGAAGATGTAGATGACAAAAGCTTTGTTTAAATATGTGGATATTCTCTTCATTTGATTCTAGAAACTGAAAGGAGAGAAGAGTTGTTGTAGACGCTCAATTTTGAATTGATTTTCAAATTTTTATTAGTTATTCAAAATTTGAATTGACCATTTAGATTAAATTTTTATTTTTATTCTTTACTTTTTAATTGAAACGGGATTTAGATAGATTTTATTAATGAGGGTTATCATCTAAAATGTAGGAAACAATTTTACCTTTTTGAGGGAAGCTTTCTTTGATTAGATGAAAGCATGGGGATTATCATTTAAAGATAGCTCAAAATATTGTTTTAGATAATGATGGATATTTTCTAGAGGGTGGCTTTTACGGTGAGGTGGGAAGTTATCTTGATGGAAGCCAAATCGCTAATTTTTTGGAAGCCAAATCTTTTAGGGTGTGAGAAAGTTTTAGACATAGCAATAGAGTTTTATTTGGAGTTATTTTTTTATTTTTTTCCAAGTCTGTTTAAAGGGAAAGAGTCTCTTTTCGTAGTGGGAAGGGAAAAATTACTGACTGGGAAAAGATGAAAAATAAATTCAAAGAAAATTTTCTTTCAAGAACTCCAAAATCTTCGACAGAATGAAAAAAAGTGGAATATTATATTAGAGAGTTTTATTAATTAGTTGCTCGAAATAACCTCCAAGAGACAAAAAGATAAACGGTTGCTCGATATGTAAATGGCCTTTAACCGTCCATTAGGGATGACGTTTTTCTACATCGGTTTATTGGGTGTGTTTTTAGTCACATATAAAGATTGGATGCATTTTAATGCATCTTCAATAACGATATATAAACTAAGTGTCTTATGAGACTCAGTTAGAATGAAATGTCCCGTGTGATATAAAATATATGATATGATTAAGATTCATCATATAGGAGGTCTGATATACTTGAAGAATCTTAACTCGTCAGGTAGTCCCTAAATATTCTAACTCACGACCGATAAAGATGTAATGCCAATAACTTGTCCGCTAAGCATGTTCAAAGTTGACTTAAAATGATAAAGCCATCTCATCTTGAGACAAGTTCTAGGACATATATACTCTTAAGGCTCTTTGCATGCCTATTCATGTGATATATGGGGGGACAAATACAGCTTAATGTTGGCATCCACCGCTAGTTATGCATGTGTTTTATAATTTATGGTTTATAGCAGTAAATCATGAAGATGTTTCTCTTTGAGACGGAACTCCGGAATGCATATGTTCCTTGGCACATAAATGCCTCTCTACTGGATACTGGAGGAGTTCTAGGTCAGATGTGATATGACTCTTTAAAAAGATCCATCGGTCGATAGTGGGATTTTAACAGAAGGAGAATAAGGCGAATCTCATCATATATTGATATATTGAGGTAAATTCCTAAAGATATATATGTTGAGGCTTTATGTGCCTTGAGGTCCAGGAATGATATGACTTGGGTGATATTTGGACCTGGCTGAACCCATATCCGTATCCACTGTCAATTCGGATATGCGTTAACCGACACCCCAAAGCTTGATGCCTTTGGGATTAAGCTGAGACTCTCAGGAACCCATGTTCAAGGTATTATAACCCTCTTCCTGAAGTTTCATATTAATCGGAGGTAGGTTAGCCCATTATCTATATAGCCCAACGGTTAGAGCCTTAAAAGCCCCATGCCTCGTGCATTCCGAACAGAATGATACTTGGCTACTGGAATTGGAATTTCTCCCTTAATACAAGGAATTTTCCCATGGGATTGGGACCATTGTATCCTTGATTCAATATTCTATCACCCTTGAAAGGTATGGAATTATTTTATACAAGTGAAGAAAGCATTCGGAAACATGTCCAGCTGGACGAGCAGAAAGTGAGCTAATGAGCAGGGACAACATACTGATTTTTCTCATTAGACAACTCCATTGAATCGCAAGTCTGTACATTCAAACTTGAAAGTGGATGATTGACCGGATATGAATGGACGAATCCATAGGTCATAATGATAAGCATGAATTCAAATTTGTGTATGTTGAGATTGAGCTCAAAAGATCTACCGCAAATTCAAATTTGCATGAAGCCCCAAGTTCGAACTCAATGCGTCAGATCAACTTGCCGAATTCAAATTTCGGTCCACGGATTCAAATATGAATTCGTGTAAGAGATAAGGATGGAAATGAGGATTTAGTGTGAAGGTTAAGGAAAGGATAAACATCACCAAGGGATCAACGATGGAGATAAAAATATGATATTTTGTAGTTATCGAAAAGAGGTTGAAGTCTATTACCTGGAGAAGATTATAAAAGCCCCGTGAATAGTCAAGAAACATATCTTTCTTTGAGATAGGCACTCCATCGGCACTCCACCACATTTTGTGTTCAAGTATTGATTACAGTGCTAAGATAGAGTGAGATAAAGAGAGAGAAAAGAGATTGATTCCATGTTCTAAAATATCCACTTGAAGCTTGTTCTCGAAAAGGAAGCAGAAATAGGATTAGTATCCCTGCCATAGATCAGGTATACGAGTTAATGCCCATTTGATGTTATATCATTTTTTATTTAATATGTCTGTATGCCTTTCTTACTAGAAATGAATGTATAGGTCTTAAGGCTAGAATCAAAGGTAATAAGCCTTATTTGCTTTTGTTGTAATATTTGGTCAATGTAAATTGTAATAGGGGATCAAACCCCTAGAACTATTTTGTTCCTAGTAATATAAAAAAAATATGTGT